GTCGCCGTTGACCTGGCCGGGTGGCGGTGCCTCGTCCTGCTTTTTCCATTTCCCTTGGACTCAGATCACGGTCGGCCAGCTTTCGCTTAGCTGGTGTCGTGGCTCGCTCGCGTTCGGGGTCCATCATGTTGGCTACCGAAGGTTGGACGGGGCGCATTTCCGTGTCGGCAATTGTCGATGGGGGTGCGGACGGAGGGCCGCCAGTACTGCTCGGAAGGCTCGGCATGCGGGTTTTCGGACTGATGCTAACACTCCTCTCGCGCTCGCTGTTGGACTGGGATCTTCGGTGGGCGTCGTTGACCCGTGGGTCGTAGGCAGAATGCGAACTGGGAGCGCGAGGTATGGCGGTCGGTGGAGGAGGAGGGGGGGTGGCGTGAGATTGGCTGATATGCGACGAAGCAGTCGACATTCGTTGTTGGTAAGGGCTCGAAGGGTGTGGGTAGCTCGGAGCAGCAGAAGATTGTCGTTGTCCAGCGGACAAAGGAGGGCCGAGGGGCGTCGGGGGCTGTGACGGTTGACGGTTATGTTCAGCGGGGTGTGGGCGGGCTGTCGCAACAGGACTATTGTGTGGATAAGGATGCCCGTACTGGTGCTGGCTTTGAGCGGATGTAGGTGTCGGGGTGGAGTGAGTCGACTGAGATCTCTGGTGAATAAAGGCGTGACCGCTCGAGGTGCCTATGGGAGGCGTCTGTGGCATCGGATGTTGTTGCTGTTGCTGCTGCTGTTGCTGCTGCTGCTGCTGTTGCGGTTGCTGCTGGTGTGGCACGTAGGGACCGCTGGGGTGGGCAGGCGGAGGTCCTGTCGCACCATGTGGCGGGCCAGACATGTGTGAGTAGCCATCTCGAGAAGGATAAGTGGTAGAGGGTGGATATTGATGCCGTTGCACAGGACTGGCGGTCGCTTCGGGAGCGCCGTGCGCCGCCCCGGACGGCGGGAATGGATACCCTTGGGTCGGCGCGCTCACAGAGGAGTTGGGAGTGTGACGATACGGCGATGGCCCAGGCATGGGAGCAGCGCTAGGAGATCGCGGGTCGCTGTACTGGGTTTGCAGCGTCGGCTGAGGAGGTCGGTTTGGGTAAGGCCCCGGTGCTTGGTATGGTGACTGCGGGGGGTAGGAGCCAGAGTTTGGTCCAGGGCCGGGGCCAGCTTGTCCGTGGGCGGAGTATTCTTGGGGCGCAGATGGTTTGCCTGGCGAGCTGTGCAAGGCATGGCTGTATGCCGACTCCCTAAAAGCGAAGGCCGTAGGACCTTGCGCCGGGGTGGTCGGGGTCTGCGCAGGCGGCGGCTGTTGCTGCTGGGGATGTTGTTGAGGATGCTGCTGCTGCTGCTGAGCATAATGGGGATGCGGCGGCGGTTGCTGTTGCTGCTGCTTCGGAGGACCGTGTGGTGCAGGCTTTCCGGTTCGCTCGCCATCGTCGTTGGTGTTCATCAAACTCCTGAGATCCATGTCGATGAATTTCGCGATCTCGCGATGGGGCGGCGCGGGCGCGTCTCAGGACGATTGATGGAAAGCCGGGATCTTCCAGGGCGGCGGGGCGTCGTAACTGGCGATGCTTCTACTGCCGGCGCGTTTCCCTCGGTCCCATGAGGCTGCGCATGCGACGGGCTCGTGGCGAGGCGAGTCGAGGGCGAACGAAGGGATGTTGAAGCGCAGGACGAATAATTTTCGGCCGCGAGTCGTCGTCGGTTAGCGATGGTTGTCGGCACGGGCTAGCATGTAGAGTTCGAATGGCAAATGATGGGCATCACGCCAGTGTGATTCGGAGAATTGGAGATTGTCGGCTGGAGGATGAGCGAAGGTCGACCAGCCAGATGCTGCTGCTGTTGGTGGGCGAAACGTGTAGGACAGAGAACAGCAAACCCGTCTGCTCGGAGCGTGCGTGCGTGCGTCTGCGTTTGCGACGGCGCAGAACAGTCGCGGATGCCTGAGGTCGGTCTGACGCGATTGGGTCGGCGATTGGAGAAATGATGAGGCGATGAATTCGATGTGCACAATCTGGCGTGCGTTGACGGACTAGAGCAAACGGGAAGAAATGTGAATGGATAGATGGATGGATGAATGAATCAATGAACAGTTGCCGTGCGGTCAGGCAGATAGGTAAGATTGTAGGTAGGTAGGCTGGGTAAGGCAAGGTAGGATGCAACGGCAGAAACTGAACGCGTGGTTGGTGGGCGCGTGGCAGGGATACGTCGTTGCGTACGATGGACAGAAGACAGCCGATGGTCAGTCACTCAGTCAGTTTTGATCTGTCGGTCTCCATTCTCAAGAATCAGGGGAATGCATGTTGAGACGACAGAGGTCGAAATGGACGGAGCCTACTGTCCTCTCTGTCCCCTTTGACGATGGCTTCTGCAGTCCGGACCAGACCGGTCTGGGTTGGTTCGAAAATTCAGGATCTGTCTTAGGACGCTCCAGGCTACGTGCTCAGCCAGATTCGCTTTTTACTTCATTCATCAGGTCTCAGGCTAGTGTAGTTGGCTAGTTGGGGAAGAAAAAAAGGCGAAGGCTGTCTGTCGATCCTCTCAGGGGCCATTGCAATGCACGGACGCAGTCACAGGAAGACAGGCAGCCACCAAATAAGTGCATAGATGATGAGATGAGAGATCATGACGGACATGGTGGTCTATGAGTGCACAGCAACATGGCCAGGCAGGTTGAGATGATGGTCTAAGCGATGAAACCCAGCTATCGCACCTATAACATGGTGGTGAAGAAAAACCGATCCAATTCCACCGGCTACTCATCTTGCCCTCCCCCCCCCCCCTCCCCTCTGCCCCGGATCATTTTTTTTTCTTCCCTTGTCTTGATGATGAAGGGGGGGGATAAGGCCAGATATGGCCTTACCGGGCGACTCCATTATTGCCACAGGTCTGGCTTCCAGAAGCAGGCTTCAGACCTGTATGACACATCAATGTTGGGCATGTGAGAAACAGTCCCAGCCTGTGGCCTCCTAAAAGGCCACGAACGCCAGTCCTGTGACAGGTGCTAATCTCCATGCGGTCTAGCCGGGTTGACAGAAACTGATTCCTGGGTGCTCCGCTGCTTCATCGTAATTTCAAATCACGTGATGAGGCTTTCGCAAGTTCGGTAGTCAGCCGCCCGGCCCCTGGTCGCCTGCCCTACCATCATTGCCCACCTGCAGACGGGAGCCAAGCCTAAAGCGTGCTTACTCATGGTGTCGCCGGATGTGGGTCCGTGCAGCTCTACGCAGCCAGCAGCGCCAGGCAGACTGTGCCTGACGTGGTTCATCTCGCGACCTCGCTTGCTGTTCCCTGGAGAGAGCCCCAATCGACCAACAACACCTCCATCGGCCTCCATCAGCCTCCATCCGCCGCTCTCCATCGACTCCTCGACATCAGGCGGCGCTCTGTAATCGAATCTCAACCCGTCCAATCCTGTTACTACCTTTCTTCCCATACTCTCCGCCTGCAGCCATTTTCGAACTTCCCACGTCACGAGTCGCCATCACAACGGAAACCATCCACACTCTTTCCACCTTTCGAGAGCTTTCAAAATGCCGGGCCTGGTATCGGCAACCGGCGTTCTGGGCTTCCTCGCCGATGAGGAGAACGAGCTCAAGGTCTTCGCGCTTGAGACTTTGAATGACGATATCGACACTATCTGGACCGAGGTCGCTGGAGCTCTGGGCCAAATGTGAGTAGTCGCCTCCCTCCATCTTCCCACCCGGCTATCCAAGCTAACCGGGCCGTAGCGAGGCTCTCTACGAGGACGAATCTTTCCCCGACCGCCAGCTCGCTGCCCTCGTCCTTGCCAAGGTCTACTACCACCTCCAAGCCTACAATGAGAGTATGAGCTTTGCCCTCGCCGCCGGCGATCTCATTCTCAGCTTGACGCCCCCGGCGAGTTCGAGGAGACCATCATCTCCAAGTGCGTAGG